AGGCGGGGCAACTTGGTGACTTAAGGCTCTATCTCAAAGTAAAAGAATACAAAAAAAAAGAGCTCAGGATGTAGCTCAGTGTGAAGGTCTTGAGTTTAATTACCAGTAAAATATACAAAACATAAAACAAATCTTGAGGATATGGAAATATTTGAACGCTTTAGGGTTGTAAAATGCTGTCATCACTTTGGTACCATCAGTGTAGCAATTTCTTTTTTTTCTTTTTTTTTTTTGGTGGAACCAGGAATTGAACTCAGGCCCTTGTGCTTGGCAGGGAAGTGCTTATTCTACTGAGCCATCTCTCTGGCCCCAGTGTAGCAATTTCTTAGAAAGTTAAATATATAGTTAACATATGACCTAAGAATTCCACTTGTAGGTATATACATATGAGATTTAAAACATGTCTACACAGAAACTTGTACACCAGCGTTCATAGCAGCTGTCATGGCTTAGAACTGGAATATCTTCCTATAGTGTCGTGTGTTCAGAGGTAGGGCTTGGGAGGTGACTGCATCACGGGGCAGGTACTCCTCAGTGGACTACGCTGTTGATGAAACTGAAGTAGGAATTTTGAGTTAAGCGTGCACCTAGGACATGGGTCCTGGGGGAAGGGGTCTGGCCTGGGGGGCTGCACTCGTGCCCCTGGGCCGGCCCCTCTGTACTTCCAGCTGCTGTCATTTGGATGTTTCCTCCTGCCGTGACCTCCTGCCACGCATCTCTGCCCTGGAGCCAGCCAGCTACATGTGGACCAAGCCTCCTAATGCCATAAACCCAAATTAATTTCTCCTTTGAAATATCCAGTCTTGGTTGTGGAGTATTTTGGTCTAGTGCCAAACAAGTGACTGATAAAGAGAACTGGTACTACAAGGGGTGCCTGACTGTGGTTTGGAAACTTTTGGAACTTGTTTGTAAGAGGAGTTTGGCAAGGTTTGGAGATGCGGGCCCCAGAAGCCCTAGCAATCTATCCGCAGAACCTGATGATGACTCTGGCCTGAGCTCAGGAGACAGACTGCTGACAGGAATGTGGGTGGTGAAGGCAAGGCTCTTGGCGTTTGAGATGCGAATAAGGACTCTATTAAACAATGAAAGGCAGGTGTGGTGGTGGGTACCG